TAAACACGGGATCTTCACCATCACCAGGCAATGCACAACCAGGAGGAACAAATCTGTCCGGTCATAAATATATATCATACATAGCAAGTCATATATAAAGCCAAATAGAATGTTCAGCCTATAATTTTCTTTCTTTAAAACTCTTGTACAAAAAGTAATACAAATAAGGAATGAGCTCATTTTTAAACGTTACACACGGTTTAGAATCCACTATTAAAATCCATGAGCTTCTGAAAGATTTGATTCCCCGTCGTGCCGAGTGGAGAACTTGCCTCTCCCATTTCCACGCGTCCAGGGCGCAGGGAATTTGGACACGTTCTTCTTTGGTTTTCTCTCTCTGACATGTGCAAAGTCTGCACAAACTCATCTCCTTCCCCCCTTAACATCAGCAAGAAGGAAGAGTTTGACCCACCTGGCTCCAGTCCCCTGCCTTGAGGGTGCTCTCCTTTTAAACCATGTTTTCTTGTTGTTTTGTTTTGAAGCTTATTTGTTTATTTTGGGGGAGAGAGAGAGACAGAGACAGAGAGAATGAGCAGGGAAGGGGCATAGAGCAGGAGAGAGTGAATCCTGAGCAGGTAGGTCTGGGGCCTGGATCCCACCAACCATGAGATCTTGACCTGACAGGAAGTCCGAAGCTTAACTCACTGAGCCACCCAGGGACCCCCATTCTTGTTCATTCTTTTGTCCTCAGCCTCTTAAAAAATACCTTTACTCCATGCCCTACATGGGGCTTGAACTCATGAACCTGAGACCAAGAGTCACATGCTCTACCCACTGAGCCAGCCAGGCATCCTAGGCCTTAATCTTTAAGTTTACTTATTTATTTTGAGAGAGAGAGAGAAAGAAAGCGAGCGAACAGGGAAGGGACAGAGAGAGAGGGAGAGAGAGAATTCCAACTTGGGGCCTGAACCCACTAACCCAGAGATCATGACCTGAGATGAAATTGAGAGTTGCACACCTGCCCCCTCAAGAAAAAAGGTGGGGGGCGCCTGGGTGGCTCAGTCTGTTAAGCTTCCAACTTTGGCTCAGGTCATGATCTAACAGTTTTGTGAGTTCGAGCTCTGTGTCAGACTCTGGGCACTGTGCAGAGTCTACTTGGGATTCTCTCTCTCTCTCTCTCTCTCTCTCTCTCTCTCTCTCTCTGCCCCTTCCCTGCTCGCACTTTCTCTGTCTCTCTCAAAATAAATAATGAAACAACAACAACAACAACAAAGGGTTGAACACCCGTTGGACTGAGCCACCCAGGCCCGCCGGAGGTGCTCTCCTTTAAGATGAACCAATTTGGGGGCGCCTGGGTGGCACAGTCGGTTGGGTGTCCGACTTCAGCCAGGTCACGATCTCGCGGTCCGGGAGTTCGAGCCCCGCGTCAGGCTCTGGGCTGATGGCCTGGAGCCTGTTTCCGATTCTGTGTCTCCCTCTCTCTCTGCCCCTCCCCCGTTCATGCTCTGTCTCTCTCTGTCCCAAAAATAAATAAACGTTGAAAAAAAAAAATTTAAAAAAAAAAGAAAAAAAAAATAAGATGAACCAATTTGTTCCTTGAGGTGCACATGCAGCCAAGTGTACAGATCTTAAGGGTCCTCCTAGCTGGATGAATGCAGAACGCTTCATTCTTGTTCACCCTTTTGTCCTCAGCCTTTTCAAAAAAAAATATCTTTATTTATTCCACATCTTACATGGGGCTTGAATGCATGAACCTGAGACCAAGAGTCTCATGCTCTACTCACTGAGCCAGCCAGGCGTCCCAATCCTCAGCATTTAAGTTTATTTATTTATTTTGAGTGAGAGAGAGAGCGCAGGGGAGGGGCAGAGAAGGAGTGAGAGAATTCCAACTCAGGGCTTGAACCCACTGAGAGATCATGACCTGAGCCGAAATTGAGAGTCGGACGCTTAACCTACTGAGCCAGCCAGGCGCCCCCTCAGCATTTTTAAAGGATGGGTCCTACTTCTGTGCTCTATTCCCCGTCCCCTACCGAGCCTGCTGTGTCTCTACCTCTTTATCCCCTCCTGTGTGTCCCAAACACTTTTCCAGGTCTTTTCATGTACCCTTAATGTCTTCTGAGGGCCTCATGGGTCCAGCGCTTTGCTCCAGGGTCAGCCCACAGGGATGCCTCTTCTGGTTTCCCCGCTGCCACCATCTAACCCAGCATGTCCCCATATTCCGCTCTGCTCACCCTCAACTGCTCCTACCCATTCCCAAGGCTCTTCTTGTGTCCTCTGCCCTGCACACTCTAGCTGCAACCTCACCCCCAGCCCCCGGGCTGGCTGCATCCCCTCCCTCGGGCGTCACTCCGTCACTCCCGGAGGCAGCTCCTCACAGGCAGAACCATCCTCACTCCACCATCCTCCCAAGGCCGCTCCCTTGTGCCTTCCCCGCCTCGAGGCACATCACACACGTCACTCACCTGCTCCCACCCCACCCGGCCCGATTTCGGTCTCCACAATCCTTTCGCGTCTGCTACTCTCTCTCCATCCCTGTTGCCACTGCCCCAGTTCCAGGATGGGTCCCTGACTCCTCCATGGGTCAGTCACCGGCCTGCACGCATTTCCCCGCACTCTCCTCGCCCGTTCGCAGTCAGGTTAATCTTCCTCTGACAGCCTCTGCAGAGGAGGAGGCTAAGTGTCCTAGTTTGTCACACTGAAGGCCTTTCTAGACCCGGCTCCCACTGCATGTGGCCAACGTGGCTCCCACAGCTCCTCATTGCCTGGGTTTCAGCCAAACTGAACCGTCAATCATGGTTAGCATCCCCCAAGTACATGCTCAGTGCCATTAACCGCTTGATTCATTTAAGCTACACAACAATCCTATGAGGTAGGCACAGGTAACATCACCCCTAGTTTATAGATGCGGAAACTGACGTTCAGAGAGGCTAAGTGGTTTGCCCAAGGCCCCACCACAGCTGGGGGTGGTGGAAGGCAGGAGCTGACCCCGTGCGCACTGGCTTCAGAGCCCATTCCCTGGATACTGTAGTTCACTGTCCCAGCCACAGGCAGGGTTTGGACACCACTGGAGCCTTTAGGTGACAAGGTCTTCCTGTCTTGCTCGAATGGCCAGCCAGCCCCTCCCCTCCTATCTCAAGCGCCTCAAGTATATTTTCTCTGACCCTCAAGCTAGAACTAGTTACTTCTCTGGTTCCTAGAAACTACTTACTTTATTTATCTGGTTGTTTGGGTGGGGGGTGTGCAGGAAACAATGATCACCAGCTGCCCAGGTAGCAAAAAATTATGCTTCCAAAATCTCTTGATGTTGTAGCTGCCCTACGTGTGCTTTTCACGACAGAAGCCCTTTTTTCCCCAGAACCTGCTTAGATCTTAAGTTATTCACGTTTTAGGTTGTGTTACCGTAACAGAAATCCAGTTTTCTTCTCCACTTTTATTATCACCTGATCGAATTTAAGTTCTCTGGAGGAAGGACTGTTTTTGTTCATTGCTAGTTTCCTGGGACCTCACCCAGGGCCTTTCACTCAGTATTTGTTGAATTAGCAAACAGACCAATGAATGTTGCACTGCCTTGCATATATGAGCTTCACCCCCAACTAGGCTCTGAGTCTCTTGAGGGGACTCTTGGAAGAGTCATTTATCAATAACTTGTCCCTTTTTTTTTAACATTTTTTTTTAAATGTTTATTTTTGAGACAGAGACAGAGCGTGAGCAGGGGAGGGGCAGAGACAGAGAGGGAGACACAGAATTCGAAGCAGGCTCCAGGCTCTGAGCGTCAGCACAGAGCCCAACGTGGGGCTCGAACCCACAAACCGTGAGATCATGACCTGAGCCGAAGTCGGACGCTCAACCGACTGAGCCACCCAGGTGCCCCTGTTGTCCCTTTTTTACACTTCTGTGAATGATGAGGTCCCTGCTCACATAAAGTTGTATATACCACTACAGCTAATTATCTTGCATTTCGAGCATCACAGGGCAGTATTTGCTGAACAGGTGAACTAGATCAAAATTACAGAGAACATTTCAAGAAATTCATACACACCACAGTAATCTGCTTTAGTCATGCCGGCCTGGGTTCTTCCCATACCCATAGGATGGCAAAAACCTATTTTCAGGTCTGACTTACTCTTTTCCTGCCTCTAAAATCCCACAGCATGTGACAGCAACCTAACACATGGCGTTCCTTCCTGCTGAACAACCTCAGCATTTCTTGGTCACCTACATTTCTTAAAATCTAAATTCTAGAGGGGTGCCTGGGTGGCACAGTTGGCTAAGTGTCCGACTTTGGCTCAGGTCACGATCTCACGGTTCATGAGTTTCAGCCCCGAATCCGGCTGTCTGCTGTCAGCACAGAGCCAGTTTTGGATCCTCTGTCCCCCCTCTCTCTGCCCCTTCCCCCACTCATGCTCTCTTTCCAAAATTAAATAAATAAATAAATAAATAAATAAATAAATAAATAAATAAAACCCAGCAGAACCTAATGCTTAAAAAAAATCTAAACTCTCGAACTTGAATTCGAGTCTCCACATTGAGCTTCTCTCTCCTTTCCAGACTTCCCTCCCGCAACCCATGGCACGAATCCACCATTCAGATGGCTCCCTCATCTTCTCCACCCCAGCCTTTCCTTTGGTTTGTCTTATTCATACGGTTCCTGCCAACTGGCGTGTCCCTCCCGCACCTCTACTAAAATTCTAGTCCCTTTTCAAGGCCCAGCTCAGGTGCCCCCTCCCCTGTCTCAGCCCTCCTAACCCGAGGTGTGTTCCCTGAGCGCAGATACCACAGCTCGTTCCTGTTTCCCCCTGGCTGACCGGTGCTGGTCAACAATCGTGAGGCAGATTTCAACATACAGAAAAGGTCCGAATTCTGTTCTGAAGCATTCTGAATGAGAGGCGAAGCCCACTGCGTTTACTGCACTTTACTACAGCTAATGCATTAAGTGGATAATTAAGGTTTGACAACATGTGATTGCCTATAAAGACCTTTGCAACCAGTGCCTGCCACCCTCCTTCCAAATGAACATTCTCGTGGTGGCGCCCACGTTAAAGCCAAGCATTAACAGCCACAAACAACAAGGGGTCTCCTGATGGTGTTAGAGCTCGCGGCTGCCTGGATGTCCTGAAGAGGGTCTGTGTCAGCTCTGGAGGAGGATTTCAGTCCATATCTACCCTCCTGCCTGTCTTTATGACAGAATGTATCCTCTTTTTTCTCAGCCTTTCCCGATTCATGTTTTCTATCCTGAAAACAAAAAGACCGCAGTTAGGCCCAGATGCCCAATCAATGCTTTTCAAAGCGGAGAGGAGCTGGCAGCTGGGTTGGAAGGAAGCAGCCGGATCAGCAGGGGCCAGCCCCGCTCGGGTCAGCGGCTTCTCTCGGTCCCGGAGCCTTCCCACCTTCTGCTGGGAAGTCACGGACTCCCCCTGTCTCCTGTCTTCTCTGTGCAGCCCCTTATCCCCACAACTCAGCTGAGAGAAGCTCGGGGGCACTTTCTGGTACCTTATCCTGTGTAGTACAGCATCTTCTTTGGATGGCTCCTTAGCTGGCTGGCTGGCCTCAGCAATCATGTCTCGAATTTTCTGAAGACAATCTGCCAGATTTCGGAACTGATAGCGGCTGCATTCAGAGGTGAGTATCAACTCTCCTGACTTGTTGATCTTATTTTTATGCTGCAGAGAACAAAGGCAACACCAGAGTTCTACAGAGTAAAAGGTTTAAAAACGACTGAGGGATGACGGAAAAAGAAAGGAACCGGTGGTTACCGTGATGGCCATCTTCTGCCGCGCAGGCTTGGGAATCCACTCGGCGGTTGCCAAATGGAACCTGACTTCAGCCTTGGAATTCACTGTAAATAAAGGGACCAGAGCGCATGGGTCACAGAGACTCTCAAGTAGGCTCAGCGCCCAGTGGCTGGTGACAATCCTGAAACGGGGAGGCGAGACACCCAGCCAGGTGTGACCTGTGACACAGGTCCTGTGTCAACTTGGGAATACAAGGTTGGTGATGGAATGAGCCTGCAAAGATAGTGAGGCACTTCTGGACAAAAATTAACTTCTGGGAACTAAATGCTCAGTGCTTCTCTTACAATTTAGTGGGATCTGAAAAGAAGGGGGAGGGGGAATGGGTTCCATGAGAACGAAAGAAACCTGTTCTCGGAGCTGGCTGCCAGCTCACACTGTGATTTTCCTTTGTTTCGGTTCACAAGCCAACCCTAGTCTTAGCAACCCACAGCTGAGAGTCTAAGAATCAGACCACATTCAAAGAATAAAGAGGATTATTATAAACTGGTGGTATTTAAGCTTCTGCTAAAACAATCCCTTTATTCCACATGAATGTAAGCATAGAACTCAAGTGCATCTCCCAGCCAAGTTTCAAAGTGAAAAACAAGGTGCCTTGTACCTTTGTTAACATTCTGGCCCCCAGGACCGCTACTCCGACAATAAGATATCGTCAAACGATCTATAAAACAGAACACAGACCGAAAAAAGATTATCCCATGACAAAAATGCTCAAACTGTTCATTTATTATCAACACAGTATGACTATCCCTATTACACATCTTTCTTAAAAAAAATTTTTTTTAATGTTTATTTTGTTTTTGAGAGAGAGACAGAGCGTGAGCAAGGGAGGGGAAGAAAGAGAGGGACACACAGAATCCGAAGCAGGCTCCGAGCTGTCAGCACAGAGCCTGATGTGGGGCTCGAACCCATAAACTGTGAGATTATAACCTGAGCCAAAGTCAGATGCTTAACCAACTAAGCCACCCAGGTGCCCCACACATCTCTTTCAATGACTTTTATATAACAAACATAATGTTCAAAGCAGTAAAGTCAGAGATTATTTACAGATCTCAAAGCTAAAATCAAGAGTATGTGCCTTTCCAAGGTCACACACACAGCAAAGGAGGTAAAGTTATGACCTGGGTTGTCTGCTTCTGGTTCAGTACATTTCCCCAGATCTGGCTGCCCTAGCTTCTTGCTGTTTGTTTTAAAGCAAAGACTCTGTCAAAAGCTCAAACTAAGGGACAAACTTAGTTTAATGTTGTATTTTGAAATGTGGTGGATGTGGAATCCCAATAGACTATAAGCTCCAAGGGGGCAAACATTGTGTATTCCTGGTGCCCAGGGCCCAGTTAGTCAGTGTTTAAAAACATCCCCGCTGGATGAAAGGATTCTAAGTTTATTTATTTGAGAGAGAGAGAGAGAGAGAAAGAGAGAGAGAGAGAGAAAGCACAAGTTGGGGAGGGGCAGAGAGAGGGAGAGAATCCCAAGCAGGCTCTGCACAGTCAGCACAGAGCCTGGATGCGGGGCTCAAACCCACTAGCCATGAGATCGTGACCTGAGCTGAAGTTGAATGCTTAACTGACTGAGCCACCCAGGTGTCCTTGGATGAAAGCATTCTAGAATCAGAGCTGGGAGTCTTGCTTCTAACACGGGCACAGCCACTGGCCGACTGTGATCTTGGCAAAGTCCCTCTGCTTCTCTGAGCCTCAGATTTGCTATAAAATGTAAAATGGGCTTTCTTCCTTCTATTTTTATGGTTCGTGAAAAGCAGACTCACGGTGTCTGAGGAAAGTAGGGAAGCGTGGTAGGGGGAAAATTTTGGAAGGCTGGATGGTGAGCCGTAAGAAGACCGGGTGGCAAAGGCCAGGAACCGTGGTGGTGGACAGCGGGCCTTGGTGGGCAGTGGTGGCCCGTCTCGGGACTGCTTCCAAGAGAACTTCCTCCTTTTGAAAAGTCAGATCAGTTCACTTTTCTGCAGAGGTAAGGACTGCACGGTACTGTTGGGGGACGGTTCTACCGCGGTGTGGGCAACCTTGCCTGTATCTGCATAGGCCGCCGAGGCAGGGTTTGCACTGCGGCCGAGTCCGTCTTCTAGGAAGGCCTGTGAGGCCCCCAAACTCAAGAGCACCCGAGGCAGGGGAGGAGCTGAGACATGGAGGGCTCCCACTCGCCTCCCTGTCTCCCTGGAGGCTGTCATGAGACTGTCTCTTTGCCCCCGGTTCTGATGAGATAGGCTTTTGCCACCTCCGGCCACATGCATGCCTCAAGGCACAGCTGCCGGCGACCAAAATGCCACCTGCAGCGGGGCACCGGCTCCTAAGCCATGGGGAGGCCACTCCCTTGTGCTGCAGTTGATCAGGCTCTTTGTCTCCGTGTCACCTTGAACAAGGGCCTTGGGGAGCTGGCACCCGTGGCGACTCCTCCTCGCATGGTCTGTGGACACCACAAACTGCTGGACCCTAAAAGGGGCTTGCAGCTTCACAGGCTATGTCCGTCGGGCCTCACCTTGTGTTTGGTGGTACACAAGTCTAAAGTTATGCAAACAGTTCACAGGGAGAAGTCCCCACTTGGGTTCCCCAGCCACCAAATCCTTTCTTCTCCACTCCCCCAGCCAGTCCTCGAATCCAATTTCTTGTACATCCTTTCAGGTCTATGTATGTGCATAGAAATGTATGTTTCAGACATACAAACGTAAGACACAAATGGTAGCTTACTGTATGTATTCTTCTGCAGCTTAACTTTTTCCGGAGAACCATCAGCTCATCTACTGGAAAGACTGTTCCTTGTCACGAGGACATCAAGAGCTCTGATTCGTCTCGCACACTGCCCGGCACTCCACAGTGGCTGTGCCATCATTTCTGTGCTATTCTAAAGTGCTTAAAGGGCTCTGCTTTTGCACACCCAGAGACAGTTTCTTTACTTTTGTTAGGCTGGAGAGATCTGGAAGGATTGTGTGAGGGTGGGAGGAAATGACTGATTTTTTTTTTTAATGTTTATTTATTCTTGAGAGAGAGAGAGAGAGAGAGAGAGAGAGAGAGAGAGCATGAATGGGGGAAGGGCAGAGAGAAAGGGAAACACAGAATCTGAGGCAGGCTGCAGGCTCCGAGCTGTCAGCACACAGCCCAAAGCAGGGCTCAAACTCACGAACAGAGAGATCATGACCTGAGCAGAAGTCAGACGCTTAACCAACTGAGCCACCCAGGCGCCCCCTGACTGATTTTGTATAAAGCAAAATTACTTACCTAGAGGAATGTCATTATTGGCTTGCTTTGCATCATCCTGTAATGTAATGTACACAGTGTTAAATAAATATCACCAGCTCTGTGACTCCTGAACCGGTCCAGGGCAATCAAAGAAAAGATATAAAGCCACAATGCAAATGTAATATAGCCATTTTCAGGTCCCCAGCGAAATCATATCAGGAGGACAGAAAAAGGCTCCTCGGACTCCAGAGGGCATCATGGGAGGCCTGGTTCCTTGGAGGGAGGGCAGGCTCCACAGTACACACGCCTCAGGGAGACTCCGAAAGGAATCCCCTCTACTGACCTAGAGCAACAAACCTGGTGGGCCACCTTGTTTCTCCCTAGGCCACCGGAGGCTCTCATGGGGAGCCAGCTGCCTTGAGGGTCTACGTCAGAGACTACTCGTTCCAGGATTTCTCACCTCCGTCTCTCTCCCGCGTTGTTCTCGGTAGTGATGTCTTTGAACCCGAGCCCCAGGCCCACAGGCCCAGTGCAGACACTACCCACTCTGAGGCTCTTCTGGCTACCAACACTCATGGTGTCCTCATCTGTCCCCACCACTGGCTGCCTTCATCCCTTTTCATCTTAGAATTATCGGGGAGTGAAATCCTCATCCCCCTGCACTCCCTGCCCCACTGAGGAGGCCAGGCTCCGCCCTCCTGGAGGGCTGCTCTCCCTCTTCCTCCAGCTTCCTTCTTATCTCCCTAATGACTTTCCCACTCTTCTTCATTTGCTCTTTGCAATTTTTTTTCATGTTTATTTATTTATTTTGAGAGAAGGAGACAGAGCACGAGCAGGGGAGGGGAGGGGAGGGGAGGGGTAGATGGAGAAGGAGGGAGAGAATCCCAAGCACACACTGTGCGGTCAGTACCAAGCCTGATGTGGGGCTCGAACCCATGAACTGTGAGATCATGATCAGAGCCGAAATCAAGAGTGGGACGCTTAGCTGACTGAGCCATCCAGGCGCCCCTGCTCTTTGCAACACTGAAATGCCCCTGGAATCCTTTCTCTTCTCTTACTCCTTCCCTAGAACATTTCATGCATCTACGATGATGAAAATATTATGGGTGTTCATGACTCCCAACTGTCTGGCTCAAACTCAAAACCTTCTTCAATTCCAGACCCATAGAGGCAATTCCTATTTGAGGTCTCCTCATGGCTGCCTCAAACCTCAAACCTCCTCACAGAGGACTCCCCTTACTAACGATCTGAAATAGCTCCCCAGCACTCTGACAGCACCCTGGTCTTTTCATCACCTATGTTTTCCCCATTTCTTTACTGTGTGCTCCTTCTACTAGAACATAACCTTCATGAAGCAGGGACCCTATCAGTTTTATCTGTGTCTGCAACGTTTGAAACAGCGTCTGATACATTAGGTATACAGTATGCTTTTTGTTGAACGAAAGAACAAATGACTTTCTCATCTCGATTAATGGCAACTCAATTCTTCCACCCCGGACTTCAATTCCTCTCTTATTCTCACTTCTTATAGAAAATACATTAGCAAGGGGCTCCTGGGTGGCTCAGCTGGTTAAGTGGTCAACTCTGGCTCAGGTCATGATCTCACGTTTCGAGAGTTCGAGTACCCCATCAGGCTCTGCGCTGACAGTGCGGAGCCTGCTTCGGATTCTCTCTCCAACCTCCCCTCCACCCCGTCTCTCCCCCACTCATGCTTTCTCTCTCAAAATAAATAAACTTAAAAAAAATTACATTCTAAAAAAAACACACACACACTAGCAAATCTTATAGGTTTTCTCTTCAGAACGTAACTAGAACCTGAACCTGACCCATTCCTAAGAGTCTTTTGCTTCCTCTCTGCTTATCATCATCTCTTGCCTGTTTATTGCAGTCTTTTAAGTGGCCTTCCTGTTCTTGCCATTCTACGGTCTACTCTCTGTAAGTCCCTATAAGAGTGATCTTTGTCGTTGCTGCTGGCATTTTAAGATTTTATCTTTAGGTAATCTCGACAGCCAATGTGGGGCTTGAACTCACAACTCCAAATCACATGTTCCACTGACTGACCAAGGCAGGCGCCCTGAGAATGATCCTGGTAAAACTAAGTTGGATCATTCCGTTCCTCTGCCTCAACCCCTCCAACAGGTCCCATCACACTCAGAATAAAGCTAAAGACCTGTTAACCCTGTAAACGGGCCTCCCTCCATCCCATCCCTCTCCTCTTTCGATTCATCTGCTTTGACTTCCCTGCTCAGCCACTGGCCTGCTTGCCGTCCCTTGAACAAGTCTCACTGCCTTGCTTCATCCGAGTCCTTACGCAAAAGTCATCTTCCCAGAGGTCTTCTTAGATCATCCTACTTAAAACTGCAACCCGACCGCTACCTTAGCACTCCTTCCTTCCAGGCTTTATTTTCTCCAAAAGAACTTATAACCATCGCACACACTCTGTAGTTCTGATTTTATTTATCGCTTGCTACCCTCCACTGGAAGATAAGCTCCAACAAGCATTCAGATGATCTTCCCCCCCCCCCCCATCTCCATGCCTCCATGGTACACACACCATGCTTTCAATTGAAGTTTGTTGAATGAGTGAGCGAATAAATGAATGTTTTCTTTTCAGTCCTGTATGTAGAAATTCAGTAGAACTGACTGGGTCCTATCTCTCCTGCCCTGGTGCCTGATAAAGAGCCTGAACATAGCAGGCTGGCAACAAATGCATCCTGAAGAAACGAAACCCTGTTTCCTGTTTTCTTCAGGCGCGCTGGGGTTCTTAGGAGCTACGGACATAACTTCCCAAAAGGTTCAAAAAATTTGGCAGCTTCTGGGTTTTATTGTCCACGCCAAAGGGAAAACTCCCACATTTGGGCCTGGAGGCCGGGGATCGAACTCGGAAGCACCGGTGGTCCTGCAAGAAACACGCTCAACGTGCTCTCGAGACGCCCGCACACCCCAAGCCCTCCCGGCGCCAGGACCCAATCTGCCGCCCCAGCCCCACTCGCTCCGGCAACCAGCTCCCTCCCGCGGCCCCCGCCACGTCCTACGAGCAGCAGCCACTCCAATTTGCTCCAGCCTGGCCAATGGAGCCCGGGCTTCCTAACGTCACTGCAGAGGAGGGGAAACGCCCCTTCCGTACGGCCTTCCCCGCTCACCGGGACCCTCCAGGCGGTGTCCGAGCCCCGGGATTCGGGGTAGAGCTTGTCCAGGCTGTAGATACTCTGGAACTCTGTGCCGTCGGCCTGCTTGTGCAGAACCCGCTGGGGGCAGCACACGGGCGGCGGGAGCAGCCAGGTCCCGGCTCGTCTCAGGCCCCAGCATAGACACCGGGCCACCGCCATGTTCGGGTGTCGGGGCTGCTTCCGGTGGGTGCCTGCTTCCGCGGTCCGCCAGCTCGCGCTTCCC